ATGCCTTTTAATAAGCAAACATCTTAGAAAACCATGGGTTTTATGCTGAGGCCACTGAAATTTCCCAGCATCTAGACAAAGAAAATTAAGTAGGGGGAGAGGGGAAATGATATATCTGCCTTTATATATTTGAAGTGCTGTCATATAGAAGAGGGGTTAAATTTGTTTGGCTTGGACCTAAACACCAGTACAGGGACCAGTTATAGATGTTATAGTGAGGTTATGTAAGCACAATGTAAGATAGAAGTCCTCAGCCATAGAAATTATGCAAATTTGAGATGGGTTGTCTTGTAAGGTGGTAAGTTCCTCACCAGAAAAGCTATTCCAAATCCTTCTCTTAAACCTCCCATACCTCCTGTTTCCCCCACCTTCTCAGCTGGGTTCCTTATTTCAACTTTCCTGAAAAAAAAAATTGAGGCCATTGGCTTTGCGCTCCATATTTCCCCCTTCCTTTCATCATAAAACCCCTTGTTATTATTTCCCAATCTTGCCTTCTTTGGCCCAGTATGGAATAGTGAGGTATCCCTTCTCCTTGCTAAGATAAAACCTCAGCATGTATTCTGAACCCAGTCTCCTCCTGTCTTTTCCATTGAATTGCTACCTTAATCATCTCCCTAGCCCCTTTCTCTTAAATCTTCAAACTTTTCCTATCTCCTGGTTCCTTCCCTACTGCCTTCAAAGATGATCGTCTCCCCCATCCTTAAAAAACTTCACTCCCTAGTCCATAATATATCTTCTAGCCAAACATTCTATATCTTTCCTCAGTTTCTCATCCAAGTTCCTAGGAAAAGCTTCTGTACTTATTGTCTTTATTTCCTCTCCTCTCTCACATTCTCATCACTCAACTGATAATGATTTCTGCAAAGTTATGAATGATCTCTCAGTAGCCAAATTTCTCAATTCTCATCCTTCTTGATTTCTACTTCATTTAACACTGTTGATCCCCTTTTCTGGATTCCTCTCTGGGGTTTGTGACATTACTTTCTTCTCTTTCTCCTTTTATCTATCTGCTTTCTCCTCCACCACATTTGCTGGCTCGTCATCCATATAATGCCCCTTAATTATGGATATTTCCCTAAGGTTCTTTCCTAGGCCCTCTTTTCTTTTTTTATATTCTTTCTCCAAATGACCTCATCAGCTCCCATGGGTTTAATTGTTATCTCTGTGCAAATGACTCACAGATACGTACAACCAAGTTCAGTCCCTTCCTTGAACTTCAGTTCAGTATTCCCAATTGCCTATTGGAGATTTCAATCTGGATATCCCACAGGTAACTCAGACTCAATATGTTCAGAAAGAATTCATTCTCTTTGCTCCCCAAACCACCTATCTTCCAAACTTTCCTATTTCTATTGAAGGCACCATCTCCCCAGTCTCCTAACAGGGTCATCCTAGAATAACATAATAACAGTGTTATCCTCCCACTCCCTCACTGCACATATCCAATCAGTTGCCAAATCTTGCCATTTCTACCTGCAAGACATCCAACCCCCTCTCACCATTCACACAAACACCACCCTAGTTAAAGCCCTCATTGCTTTTTGCCTGGATAATTGCAAGAAACTCCTAATTGGTCTTTTCATTATAATTATTGTCGTGCCACTTATGTGGGCTAATGCATATGAAGCAATCTTTAGCAATGGCACTTATGAGATGTGTTGATTAGCTTGGACTTTCCCCAAAACTGAAAGATGGGAGCCATGTATGTAAGATAAAAGTATCTGTGCTGTTCAGTCCTTATTCACTCATATTCTTTGTGACTCTTTGTGACTCTTTGTGACCCCATTTGGGGTTTTCTTGGCAAAGATTCTAGAGTGGTTTTACTTTTCCTTCTCCAACTCATTTTACAGATGAGGAAACTGAGACAAACAGGATTAAGTGACTTGCCCAAGGCCACACAACTAGTAATTGTATGAGGACAGATTTGAACTATCTTCCTGACTCCAGGTCTGGCACTCTATCCATTGTGCCACCTAGCCACCCAAAAGTATTTATACTTGCCTCTTCACTTCGAATAATGCTCTAAGGCAATGGTGTTAAACTTGAATAGAAACAGAGTCACTAAACCATACATAAGGATTCCTACAGGCCACTAATTGACTTAGAAAAACATATATTAATGTTATCTATGTTTTAATATATTTTTATTTATATTGCTAAATATTTCTTAAAATATTTATGTTGTTCAATATTATTTGACAAGTAAATTTATTTTGTAAAATATTTTACTTTAATCTGGCTTGGGCCATGCTTGAGAGTGCTGTGGGCCATGTGCAGCCCACGAGCCATGTGTTTAACACCTCTGCTTTGGGAATAATGCTGTTCCAGCTATAACATATGAAGGAAAACTCCATGTTTAGGATAACACTATGAAAGCCATAACTGTGTTCCGTAGCCTTGTCACGTCACAAAAGAGCCTTAGGAATTTTCTAGCTAAGACAAGGAAACTAAGCCTAGTTTCCTTTTGCACCAAAATGTGGAGCTGCTCCAAGATGCAACTTAACTAATCTCCCTCCCCAGCAAATAGAAGTTTGATCACTGGATTGGGATTTAAGAGAGACAACCATGGGTGACTTAGCTACTTACATAAGTGACTGGGACTTAGCTTTCATCGAAGAGTAGTGGAAAGAGCAGCATATTTGGAAACAGGAGACTTGGATAGGAGTCTCTGATACTGCCTATGATACTAGTTATGTGACCTTAGGCAAGTCACTTTACATGACTTACATATGATCACACAGCTAGTACATGTCAGGGTCAGGATTTCAACCCAGGTCTTCTGGTACATGTGAAGCTTATTTGTAAAATTTTAGAAGTTATGTAAACGTGATTATTAAGATTAGATAAATAAGACGTAGCCTCACCTCTGTGATGTTGCTCATATGTTGTTTCCATTCTTCAAATCTACTTCCAAGAAGCATTTCATGGGTATAACCCATGTGGACATTGAAATCATGATCTAGGCCTCACTAACGCTATGCTTCAAATCTTTAAACTGCTTAACCAAGTACATCAAATCTTTGGCTATAGGGACTTAAAATCCTCTCACTGATTTTCACACAATTGAGCTAAGACAGCTATGTAGATAGATGATAGATAGATATAGAGATACGTAGATATAGATGTAAGACAGAGATAGGGATGTATAGATATACAGAGATAACTAGATATATTTATAGATGTACAGACATATAAATGTATTTATATATATATATATATAATATGTGCTTATATGTGTGTATGTGTGTATATGTGTATATGTATGTATATATGTATGTATTTCCAAAAGACTCAGTAAGTGCATGCATTGCACACAAAAATCTCAAGTGTGATAAAAGCTAGACTTTTCCAGTCATCTTAGACTTTACACCCCCACTCCATGTACTATTTGATCTGGTGACCCTGTCCTCCTGGCATTGAACAAGACATTCCATCTCTCGACCTCAAACATTTTCACTGGCTGTCTTCCATGCCTACAATGCTTTTTCTCTTCATCTTTACCTCTTGGCTACTCCGGCTTTCTTCAAATCTCATCTTCTCCAGGACTTTCATGATTCCCCTTAAGTTTAGTGCCTTCTCTCTATTGCTTATTTCCAATTTATCCTGTCTATAGTTTGTTTGTATATAGCTAGATAACTCGGTGAATTAAGTGTGGGACCTGACATCAGAAAGACCTGAACTCAAATCCTGCCTCAAAAAATAACTAGCTGTATGATCCTGGGCAAGTCATTTAACCTCTGTCTGTCTTGTTTTTCTCATATTATCCTATAGGGATAATAATAGCACCAGTCTTCCAGTGTTATCATGAAGATGGAATGAGATCATATTTCTAAAATGTTTTACAAATCTTAAAGTACCATGTAAATGGTATTACAGAAATTATTTTTCTTCTCTTTTTTCTTCTTTTCTTTCTTCTTCCTCTCCTACTTATTATTAGTTGTTTACTGTCGTCTTTCCCGCTAAAATGCAAGCTCTTATTTTTTTAAATGTTATTTGGTAAAGAACTGTGTTTTGCCTTTCTTTGTATCCCCTGTGTTTAACATAGTTCCTGGCACGTAATAGGTGCTTAATAAATGTTTATTGACTCACTGACTCACTACTTAAGGAATGGATATAAAAGTAGATAATGTAACTGGTAGAACCACAAAGTATGACCTTCAAAATAAAATGCTTCTTTCTTCTTATGATGTCTATTTATAATTTGTTTCGATGTGGTCAAAGATATCATGGAAGTAGCTGGAGAACTTTCACAGCTCCAATTTGCATAATCTGTGATTTTGGATGACATCATTTTTCTGAGCTGCATTTTTTTCATCTCTTAAATGGGAATAATAACATTCACCTTCCCGAGGTTGTTTTAAAGATCAGATGAAATGACAAATAGGAAACACTTTTAAATCGTGACTATTTTAAGTAATATTAATGAGTTTGATAAAGGATATAAAATATTATATCCAAGGGATATCTCAACTTGAGTATTCTACAAATCTATGACCACTTTAGAAAAGTAAATATGGAATGTTAGAACTAGAAATAACCTTAGAACACAGAATGTTAGGACTGGAAGGAAAGTTAGTATTTTTAGTGTGTCAGAGCTAGATGAGACCAAAAAACAGAGAATGTCACAGCTAGAAGAAACCTTTAAAAAAGAATGTTAAATCTGGAAGTAACTTTAGAAGGTAGAACATAAGAACTGGAAAAGATATTAGATAAAGAACAGAAAATGATTGCATTGAGGAGGACCTCAGAACAAAAAACGTCAGAGCCAGAAGGAAACGTAGAGATCAATCTAACCTAGTCCCCTCATTTTAACTCTAAATGGTTTTCTAACCCCTCTCTCTTTCAGTCTCTTTCTAGTTCTCCCACCAAATCTATGCAGTCTTTGGGGTTTATGAGCAGGTTTATGGGTTTTATTATTCTGTGAACACCCAGCAGCTGGGTTTCAAGGACATCCTCTATCCAGATCTCTGTTAAGTGCTATTATTTTTTTTCTCCTCCAGTCTGCTCCCAATTCTCCAAGGGTGTCTACGCCATCTTTGGATTTTACGAGAGGAAGACGGTCAACATGCTCACCTCCTTCTGTGGGGCCCTCCACGTCTGCTTCATCACGCCCAGCTTCCCTGTTGATACATCCAATCAGTTTGTTCTCCAGCTGCGCCCTGAGCTGCAGGATGCCCTCATCAGCATCATTGACCACTATGACTGGCAGAAATTTGTGTATATTTATGATGCCGATCGGGGTAAGCACATCCAGAGGATGAGACTCAGGTTGAGGATTAAGGAGAAAAATCCCAATGGAACTGAGGTCATTCCTTGAATTGGATTGCAATTCTGTGCAGTTTGGAACCATGAGCCCAAAACGCTTTCTCTAAATTTCTTCCCCCTGCTGTTGGGCTATCTCCTGGACATTGCCTTTAAACAATCAACGTTATTGCAAATACTCAGGCCTTATTTTGTCCATTTTTTTAATCAAATACCCACAGAAGTGAAAGAGACTTATGAGGTACCCTCTGTCTCTACTATTCTCTTTTCTGTATTCTAAGATCCTTTGCACATATAATTCTTCAGATCTAATATTCTGTTCATCTGGGATGAAGATCCTACATTTTCCCAAACCTGCTTTGTTGGAGGTGCTTAATTTGATCAGAAGGCCACTTATGAGCTCTGTGACCTTGGACAAATCACACCACCTTTTAGAGTCTTAGCTTCCTTAACTTTAAATGGGAGTAAGAAGACCCTCATTAGCTGTCTCTCAGGGTTGATGTGAGGAAAACACTTTTTAAAATAGTTAAGCACCATGGAAAAGGAAGTTGTTGCTGATGATTATAATAACAATATAAAAAATTGAGATCTAAGTTCCATGAGAAGATGCAGACTCCCATGAATTAAAGGGCATTACCATTATGGGGGGAAAAAACAGTCCTTAACTTGGCTTTCAAGCTCTTCACAATTTGACACCTTCCTATTTATCTCATGCTAGCACCCATCCCCTACTCAATACAATCCAACCAAACTAGGTTTCTCCTTGACCTCTACCCATTCTTTTCAACCTCTTTTGTTTGTTGAATTTCTAACAGGCCTGTTACCAGCCAACTCAAATGTTACCTTCTCCTGGAAACCTCTCTGGTTCCTTTAATTGGTTATGACTTTCCCCCTTGGCCCTCACATCATGCTTTTCTTACATCTCTCTAATACATTTATCATGCAAGTCATCTGTATTTGTGCCTTAGAGTGTAAATTTGATGAAGACAAGGGCCACATATTATCTAAATTTTGTATGTATTCTAGTATTCTGCACAAGGTAGGCAATAAATGTTGGATTGAATTTGTAACATGGGAATAATAAGACTTAGAATACCTATCTCACAAGGCCAGACAATGAATCATCTAAACAACCAAGGGACCCATTGTGAGGTTAGTTTATTGTAGTATTTTAGCCACTGTGCTTATGCAGGGTCAGTGTTCATCAGACTGAAGATGGAACTGTCCCCACTGTAACCATGGCTCTATACAGGGGACGAGGCTCGCATGTCCCCATCCAGGGCCTCAGATTAGGGAGTAGGTGCTGGTAGCATAGGTAGTACCTAGCAAAGGGCTAGGTACTACAGCTACTAGGATAAAAATGAAACTGTCTGCCCTCAAGGAGTTTATATTCTATTAGCTAAGAACAATATGTATATACACTAGTAAATCCCAATATATGTGTATATATTTATATACATATATGTATTTAGTGTCTATACAACACACACACACACACACACACATATATATATAGTAATTTTGGGATGAGGCTACTAGCAACTGGGGTATCAGAAAAAGCCTCCGGTAAGAAGTGACAGGAACAGACCTTTGAAGATAGCTACAGATTCTAATAGGTGGAAGTGAGGAGGGAAATGAATTTGATATGAGGGACAACCTACCCAAAGGCAAGGAGATAAGAGTGCTGTCTATGGTACATAGCAATTAGGCCAGTTTGTCTAAAATGCAGTGTGTGAAGGGGAGTAATATTTAAGGAGCCTATAAAGGTTGGCTGAAGCCAGATTACAAACGTCTTTAAATGACAAGCAAATAAATTTGTATTTGATCCTAGAGGCCTTAGGGACCCCCTGAAGCCTTTTGGCCAAGGGAGCGACATGATCAGACCTGGGCTTTAAGAATATAAATGTGCCATCTGGGTGAAGGCTGAATTTTAAAAAGAAGGGACTTAAAACAGGGAGCCCAATTAGGAGACTGTTGCAATAAGTCATCTAAAATATGAAAAAGGCCCAAAGTAGGGTGACTCTGATGTGAGCAGAGGTGAGAGAATAAAAGTAAAAGGTGTCATGGAGTGAAAATCAAAAAGACTTGGCAAATGACTGAATATGAGTGGGGAATGACAAAGAAGAGGTAAGAATGGCTCCTAGATCCAAACCTGCATGGCAATCAATTAATCAACTAGCCATTATTATTTACTATGTGCCAAAAATTGTGCCAAGTGCTAGGTTTACAAATACAAAGAATTAAACTATATCTACTGTCAAACAGCATATGTCCTAATGGGATAGAACAGAAATAGGAAGGTAAGAAGAGGAATGAGATTGGGAGCTGGTAATTTCTGTCTTAGACATGTTGGAGTCAAATGTCCTTAGCATGTCTAGCTCAAAATATCTAACCAGTAATAATAAAAAAAAAAAAAGCTGGAGCTTCAGAGAGAGAGAGATACTAGGATTGGATATGTATAACTGGGAATTATATGCATGGAAATAATAATTCAACTCATGACAGCTGATGAGATCCTTAAAAAAAAAAAACTGGTATAGAAAGAGAGGAGAAGAAATCTCAGTCCAGAGCCTTAGAGATATACCCACAGTTAGGGAATAGGACATAGATGATGATATAGCAAAAGGCCATCAGTGTCAAATCAGCTTCTCATTATTCAGTTTTTTTTTCTGTTATGTCCGACTCTTCATGACCCCATTTGGGGTTTTCTTGGCAGAGATACTGGAGTGGTTTTCTATTTCCTTCTCTAGCTTATGGGGCACTCAGCAAGAGTGTTGCGGGGGCTAGGACGGGTGGTGGCTTACCTCGAGGCAGACTGGCCAGCTCAGATTGGCTGCAGAGAGGTAAAGAAGCATGAGGACTGAGAAAAGGCCATTGATTCTGGCAATTAAAAGTCTATTGTTACTAATTGAAGAACAGCTCTCATTCTTGCAAATTTTAATTAGTATTTGATATAGCTTAGAAGTAAGATAATTACCAGAGAAACTTGATGCAAACATTTTCCCCCTATTTCCCTTCTAATTTTAGGTGAATTGGTTTTGGTTTTTTGGGGGAAACTTTTTAAATTTCATGTAATGAAGATTATACATTTTATTTTTTATGGTCTTCTCTATCTCTTGTTTAGTCATGAATCCATCTCCTATCCATAGAACAGAAAGATACTTTCTTTCTTTCTTACTGCTCTGATTTGTCTATGATGTCACCTTTTATTTCTAAGTCATGTACCCATTTGGAACTTACCTTTATCATGTGGTATGAAGTTTTGGCCTATAGCTGGTTTCTACCAAACTAATTTCCAGTTTTCCCATCAGTTTTTATTGTTTAGTAAGTCTTTACCCAGTAGTCAGGCTATTTTGGGCTTATCAAATGCTATGCTATTGTGTCCATTTGCTTCTGTATGTCATAAACCTAATTTGTTCCACCAATTGACTTTTCTATTTCTTAACCAAAATTATTGTAAAAATGGACAATGATTTGGTGTACTGAGCTAAGAACATTTAGTATTCTGTGAACCTGTGACCACTTTAGAAAAGAGAATATAGAATGTTAGAACTAGAAATAACCCTAGAACATTTAGGACTGGAGGGAAGTTAGTATTTTTAAGTAATTAATAATCAAATTTTTTTTATGTTTAAGGTTCCATAGTCTAATCTAAAATCTGTTGCTACCAGGCCTCTTTTCTTTCCACTGAATCTCATGAAATCATCTACAAAGGCATGAAGGTAGTTGCTATTTGCACTGGTAAAAGGAGTAACCATCCCTGTGCAACAAAGAATCTCTTAAGTATTAGGTGTAAATGATTTTTTTTTCAACTTACAAGGTGGCCAATCTTTCAGTGATGAGTACGGAATACCAAGCTAGGCATGTACTCAGGTAGCAAGAAGTTGGCCCCTGAGCCCATAATAAAAGCCTTTCCGTCTTTGGTACCTACCTTAATTTTAGCTTCACTGGTATATTCCTTAGGACACAGGGGTCCTGCTATCATAGATACAGAACAAGAAGGGACCGCAGAGATTATCTAGTCCAACCTGTTCATTTTATATATATGAAGAAAATAAGGCACAGGGAAGTTGTCGCATGGGGACGCAAGTAGTAAATTGGAGGTGGCATTTGAACTTAGGTCCCTGACTCCAGATCCAGTTCTCTTCCCCCACTGTACTGCTCTGCCTCCCACCACAGTAAGATATCAAAACAGAGCTTTACTACAAGTTACAGCACGGTGGAGGGAATGGGATTGCATCCAAATAACTTTGATACAAGTCAGAATGTGATATATGCATGTGTGGTTGCTCAGTCTTTTCAGTCGTGTCTGACTCTTTGTAACTCCATGTGGGGTTTCCTTTTTTGTTTGTTTGTTTTGGGGTAGGCAATGGGGTTAAGTGACTTGCTCACGGTCACACAGCTAGCAAGCGTCATGTGTCTGAGGCTCGATTTGAACTCAGGTCCTCCTGACTCCAGGGCCAGTGCTCTAACTACTGTGCCACCTAGTTGGAAAGTTTGGGTTTTTCTTGGCAAACATACTGGAGTAACTTGCCATTTCCTTCTGCAACTCATTTTACAGATGAGGCAACTGAGGCAAACAGGAATAAGTAACTTGCCCAGGGTCACACAGCTAGTAAGTGTCTGAGGCCAGATTTGAACTCAGGAAGGTGAGTCTTGCCACCTAGCTGCCCTGATAAGTGCATAAGAAAGATCAGACAGAAAAGTCTGAGAGATTCCAGGGAGGGAAGGATCATTTACAGTGTGGGATTGGGGAAAAAAGAAGAAGATTATCGAGGAAAAAGTGATACCTGAGCAGGGCCTTAATAAAGAAAAAGGATTTCAGTAGACAGAGATAAGAAGAAAATCCATCCTATGGATGGGGTATGGTGTGTACAAATGCACAGAGATAGTGAGAGTTTTGTCCAGTATGTAGTGTGTAAAAACAGATATATGAATTTAGTCTGAATAAACAAGTTTGAACCAGATTATGAAGAACCTTAAATGTCAGACTAAGGAGTTTTAAGTAATAGGGAACCATTGGGGGACTTTGAGCAGAGCTTCAGAACCTCGTCATGATGCACAATCTGTGTGTGATCAGTCCTTCTTGGACAGTGTCCCAGATTGCTTACTCAGCATTAAAGGATCTGAGCTACGTAGCTTATATCTCAATTGGGCAAGTAAATTCTTTCCCCTTTCTGAGTCTCAGTTTCCTCACCTGAAAAATGAAGAGTTTGGATTAGATCAGGGCTTCTTAAATGTTTTGCACTCACAACCCCTTCAGCACCTCTTAAATCCCATGTGGGGTCACAACCCACAGCTTAAGAAGTGCTGGATTAGAGGACTTCTGTCGTTTGTTTGTTTGTTTTTCAGTCATGTCTGATTCTTTATGAAAATCCTATTTGGATTTTCTTAGCAGAAATACTGGAGTGGCTTGCCATTTCCTTCTCCAGCTCATTTTACAGAAAAGGAAACTGAGGCAAACGGAGATTAAGTGACTTGCCCAAGGTCACACAGCTACTAAGTGTCTGAGGCTAGATTTGAATTCTGGAAGAGGAGTGTTCCTGAGTCTAGGCTCAGCACTCTATCTACTGTACCAGGAGCTGCTCAGCCTCTACAGGTGGTCCCTTTTTGCCCTAATAATTTATGTTACAAGATCCTTTCCCGTCTTTGATATTGTTTGATTCTAGGAAGATCAGGGAACACACAAAATCTGAACTGGACTTTGAAGAATAATTAAGATATGGATATGTAGGGGAGATAGCAAGGAATGAATGAGTGAAAATCAGTTTCAGAGTGAGGCTTTGGTGCAGGGTGGGGAACCTGTGGCTTTGAGGCCACATGTGACTTTCTAGGTCCTCAAGTGTGGCCCTTTGACTGAATCCAAACTTCGTTGAACAAATCCCCTTAATAAAAGGATGTGTTCTCTAAAATTTGGGCTCAGTCAAAAGGCCGCGCCCGAGGACCTAGAAAGCCATAGGTTCCTCACTCCTGCTCAGGTGCTTTGGATGAACACAGTGCCTCCATAGGAGTGCGAATATTAGGCAGCAGTGGGAGATAAGGTCAGAGGGGCAGGGTTAGGCTCCATTATTCAAGTCCTAAAAAACCGGACTGATGAGTTCCTATTTTGCATGATAAACACCGGGAGCTATTGCTAGTTCTGGAGCAGGGGCATTCTATGATGAAAGGGAAATTTTAGAAGGCTGGTCTGGCAGTTTTAAGTGTAAGATAGGTTGGAATTAAAAACAGGAGACAGGGAGGCCCGCTCCTCCCTTCCTCTGCCCTCTTGTTCCTTCCTGTTACCTTCTTTCAACAGTTTCCTGGGTCTGACAGCGGAGCCCTGGGTTCCAGCCAGAAAAGGGCTATTTAGAGGAAGAAACTGCTTTGTGAAGTGATGAGGCTTGGGGAATGAGAAGAAAAACAAAAACATTTTCCACACAGAAGTAGCTCGGTAACCAGCCATGACCCAGGCTTCCCTTAGGGAGGCTCGGCCCCATTGAATATCTGACCTAAAAGCTTTGAAAAAGAACTCCAGGCAAACACAAAAAGAGTCTTGGAAGAGACAGCAACAGCAGAAATATTTGAATCTATCAGCCAATTCTTGTTTGTTGAGCACCTACTATGTACCCAGAACCAGGTGTGACCCCTAGGGTTAGAAAGAAGAGTAAGACACTGACCCTTTCCTTGAGAAGCTTAGTCTGAGAGGAAACGTGTCATGGTGCCAGAAGCACTGGACTTGGAATCCAAAGACCTGGGCTTGAGTCCCTGCTATGGCACTTATTGGATTGATCTTACAGACCCTCCAAAATATAGAAGCTACTCCTCTAAAAAGACATACTTTAAAATTGTTAAACTTATACTTGAAAAATTCAGCCTGCATTGAGACTGAGCTAGCTATATAACAGAGAAGAAACCATTTGTAGGATCATGAATCTAGAAATGAAAGAAAGCTCTACAATCATCTAATCCAACCCCCTCATTTTACAGCTGAGAAAACTTAGCCCTAGAGAGGGCAAGTGAGTGATCATAGATCATACTAGGCTCTTCGTAGAGCCAAGGATCCAACCCCAGGTCATCTGATTCTATATCCAGGGTTCTTCCTGCTCTGTGTCACACAGCTTGAGTTTTTAATATCTCCAAGAGTTATTTCCTCATCTTTAACACAGAAATAAACTAGAAATAGAGATTGGACTTGTGATTTTGCTGATATGGGGACCTCCCTGATGAAGAAATCCCTTCTGCCTGTTCAAGTTCAAGTCGGCACTTTCTCAGCAATCTATAGGCTTAGAGAATTGCCTGGGGGTATTGAGAAGTTAATTTACTTGGCCCAGTCACACAGGCAGTATGAGTCAGAGGACAGACTGGAACCCACATCTTCCTGCTTCCAAGTCCAGTTCTCTGTCAACTATACCATGCTGGGAATACGCATATTTTGTTCCACCTGATTCACAGGGAGGCTTTCTGTAAACTGTAAAGTACTATGGAAATATTGTAGAGTGTGACAGGTGGACACATGAAGGCTTTAGACAGTCAGTGTCCCAGGAATTCAGAAAAGAATGAGGTCAGTGGGGTACTAGGGTAAAATTGCAATGCTTTTAGAAAGAAGTGGAACCTGAGCAAGGCTTTGGATAGTTAGACTGGAATGAGTATGGGATCGCAAATGAGGGTCTGGGGGGGGGGATGGAAGTTGAGTTCCTCAATGGACCTTCAAGTTCCTTTAGAATCTTCTCTTTCTCTCTCTCTCCTCAATTTCCCCACCCTAGGGTTGTCAGTCCTACAGAAAGTCCTAGACACCGCTGCCGAGAAGAACTGGCAAGTGACAGCTGTCAACATCTTAACAACAACAGAGGAGGGCTATCGGATGCTTTTTCAAGACCTAGGGAAGAAGAAGGACCGGCTGGTGGTAGTGGACTGTGAATCAGAGCGCCTCAATGCCATCCTGGGCCAGGTAACGTTCTGGCAGCAACCTTCTGGCATGGGATCTCTGGCTGAAAGAGCCTTATCTAGTAGAGGATAAGGCAAGGGACAAGGGGGAACAGATGAGATAGAAGATTGAAAGATTGCATTGTTTGTCCTTGGTGTTCACCAATAGGAAAGCACATGGAAAGTACCCCTATTACTATATATTGACAGCCTAAAAAGGCAGTATAATAGGTACTAGAAAGAGCACAGAATTAGAAATCAGAAGGGACCTGGGTTTCCCTCCTGGCCCTGACACTCACTAGCTGTGTGACTGTAAGCAAATCTTTTCACCTCTCTGAGCTTTAGTTTCTTCAGCCATAAAATGGGGATAATAATATTTCACAGGGTAGTGATATCTTCATAAGGTTTCTGTAAGGAAAGTTCTTTGTAAAGCCTTAAATCACTATAGAAATGGACATTATTATTATTATTGTTATTATTATTATTATTATTATTATTATTATCGCTACTACTATTACTACATCTGCCAGGAAGTGGTTATGAGTATAACATATGGGTGGTTATAAGTCTGGGAGCCTCAGGGCTCTGCCAGAGCTGTAGAACCCTCCAAAAGCTGTAAAAACTCCAAGCTGCTGACGTCACCTTTCCAGAAGGGTCGAAAGAATATGATGAGCTGATATGATTAACATCTAGGGATGTTTGTCTGTGGTGTAGTACCATATCGTTCCAACTGTTGGCTGTCCTTGAATATAGACCTCATCCCTAAAATTAGAACTCTTGGGTAAAAAAAGATAACTTATACACACAAAAAGAACACAGAAACTTTATTTCCTTACTGATTACCTTCATGTGAGAATTTCAGAGGTTTCAGTACAAATCAGCAAATATTTATCAAGTTTCTACTGTGTTCAGAACTCTGACTATGTGCTAGGCAAGATAGAAAGTTTAGATAAGGCACCAATCTTATCCTCATGAAGTTTGCAGACCAGTTGGGAAAACAATATACACGTGAGTGCAGTACAAAATAAAACATGTGTATGCGAGAGGTGCAAACCTAATGTTTCATGAGGTCCAAGGGGGAGGATGGAAGTCTCACCTATTTAGGAATAGTAAGGTTTCCTGGAGAAAATGGTGTCTAATTTGAACTTTAAAGGGCTAGATAGGAATTCAGTACAGGAAGAGGGAGGAAAGAGGGTATTGTTCAACAAGAATAAGGGAAGAAAGGCAAGAAAGCTCAGAATGCATGCAGTGGAAAGCATAGCTAAAATGGATGGAGTCCAGGGAGGGCAGTAGAATGAGATAAGTTAAGATAGGGGCATGTCTGAGAGAACTTTGAATGACAAGCTAAGGATTCTGACTCTGGGAAACCATTATAGAGGAGTGACATAACAATATCTACATTGTTAGAAAGATGTCTGCCCATGTATGAAGGATGAATTAAAGGACAAGAGAGTAAGGAGGTGGAAAGACCTGTTGGATGCTATTGTAGTTAGTTTAGTAAGAATGTTAAACTCTACATTTTTAGGAATCAGTCAACTGATGGTATTAGGAAGGAAAGTTAGTTGTCCCAATGAGCTTTCAGACAATTACTGACTTGCCATGGGATGTGACTCATAGGTGTCTCAAGCTCTAACTCCCAGCATAAAGGACTGAGTTCCAACTATGGAGCAACTCTGTTTCCATGACAATATCTGAACCCTTAAGGACAGGAAGCTTACAGGTACTTCACAATTTAGGTAAGAGGTACCCAGATCTGAGAGTTAACAGGGCCCTGGGTACTAGCAGAGAGAGCAAGTTGTTCAATCCATGGACTACATTAACTAGACAGAAGAACTGTCCCATTCACCCCCACTACCCCCACACATAAGAGTTAATAAGGCAGAAAAAAGGCATCATAAACAAGGTATTAATTCTTGCCAGAAGTTGACCCATACGCTTGGTCATATTTTAAATAGCAGAAATTCATGTCAGAACACAATCCATATGCTGTAGGAAAGCTTCAAAGCTTCGAAACTAGAAGACAGCATAGTACAAGAATCCAAGGACATTGTTATAACACAGGACATAGCATGTTAGAAATGGAAAATAGCTCAGAACAATTGAAGACAATATATTAACATCATCTGTGTTCTATTGTATTTTTGTTTTGTTAAATCTGTCCCAATAACATTTTAATCAAGTTAAGTAGCAGTTGGGAATGTTGCCTAAGGATATTTGATATCTCTGATTTAGAATGTAGAATGTTGGAAAACAGAATATACAATGTCAGAGCTAAGGGGCCCTAGAATATAGAATGTCAGAGTTAGAAGGGACCCCAGGTGATGTTAGCCCTGGTGTAGAATATAGAACGTGAGAGCAGAATGGTGCTTTAGGTCTCGAGTACTGTTCCTTTCCCCAAATGTCACCATGAGTCTGAAAATCTACAAGATAGCTTTCCTTTCTTCCAGTTCATAGAATATGCTCATGTTTCCAAGGAAAGACTAGATTTCATGCCCCACTGTAATCATATTGTGCCTTGTGCTAAGGGTTATAGTGACCTCAACTCACATGCTCATTAGCCAAATACCATGACACTGTTCTTCAGACTCCCAAGGGACCACAAAGCAGGCCTATTGCTAGGAGAAATAAATGTTTGAGGAGCTTATTTGGGTTGATAAGTAATGCATGTTCATAAAAATCAATTAGCAAAAATTACACTTTACAAAGATTTCTAAGCAATGCTATATAACCAATTGGGACCATTTTAAAAGAAGAGAGCATGGAAGGATTAGTGGTCCAGGAGAAGATTGAGATCTGACACAGATTAGCTGTGTGTGGCCTTATGTAAATCACTTCTCTCTGAGATGCAATTTTTTCATCTGTTAAATGGTGATAACAATATTTGAACTATTTGCCTACCTCACAAAGTAGTTGCTTTTCAAGTGAAATTTTATTTTTCCAATTAATAACTATGTTTTTTCTTCCCCTCTACCTACCCAACACACACTGGGGGAAAAACAGAAAAGGTTTCTAATAAATATTCATAATCAAGCAAAACAAATTCTCACAATGGTCATGTCCAAAAATTGGTCTCTTTGTGAATAGGAAAATGCCTTGTAAATGGTAAATATTAAGCGTATTGTTTTTGTCCTCACTCAGTTCTATTAACCATCCTCAGGACTATTGAGCCTAAGTGTTTATGTCAGCTTTGCCAACTCAGCGCTACTCATACAGCCTGCAGGAGGTTAGAGATTCTGTATCTCTAGGTGCCAGGTTCCCCTCAGGAGTTAATGCAATGCAGACCATTCTGGGCATCATATCTTCTAACAAGGCAGAGACAAGCAAGGGATTTCATTGTATGGTACAAAGAGTTCATGCCCTAGGTCAGGCCTGCACAACGTATGGCCCAAGTGCCTGTTATGGCCTGCCAAAGGATTTCAGGTGGCCCGTGAAAAACGTAGAAGATGCAAAACAGGCCTGCACAACATTTGACCCCCGGGATGCTTTGGGGGGCGTATGTTGTGCAGGCCTGACCTCCGTTCTCCCATTTCCACATCTGCAACTGGAACAGAGTAGGTGCTCAGTAAGTGCTTTCTGATGGACTGACATTAACAAGTTGTTCTTTTTTCCTCACAAACTTGTACTAGACAGTATTGAGAACTTGGTGTGCCATTCCATTGTATTCTCACTTTAGAGGCATTAGTGACATCAGTGACAATAGCCCTGAGAGGATATGGGGGAAGGAGGCAGAAAGGAGACTAGAATTCTAGTCTCAGATCTGCTTAATTAGGCTTAGGACCCTTGCAAGTCATTCCCCCTCTCTGTGCCTGAGTGTGTCATTGTTTGGTCATGTCAGACTCTTCGTGACTCCATGGACCATACTGTCCGTGGAATTTTCTTGGCAAAGGATATTGGAGTGGTTCACCATTTCCTTCTCCAGTGGATTAAGGCAAACAGAGGTTAAGTGACTTGCCCAGGGTCACACAGATAGTAAGTATCTGAAGCTGGCTTTGAACTCAGTTCTTTCTGACTCTGGGCCCAGCACTCTATCCACTGAACCACCTAGCTGCCTCAATTTGCTCATCTGTAAAAAGAAGAGATTGAATGTATGATCTTATATTCTGTCCATCTGTATTCTAAGAGTCTTTCCAGCATGAATATTATGTTCTGTGCTTTGACATCCTAACTTGGAAAAGGAGTGAATTCAGATGAAGTGCTAATCATGCTGATTGTAGAAAGCTAATGGGGGCCATAATGAAAACATTGTTAACAAGCATCACAGAGAATCATTAGTGTCCTTGTTCATTCTCCACAGCTAGATTGGTTGGCAAAGATCATCTCCTGGACATAGGAAAGAGAAAAACCAATAACGAAATCTGCCACAGGAACTCACATGACTAGCTTAGTCTGCTACCCTGTGAAGAATCTCTTGACTATGGCAGTAGCTGTCATCTTGTGAGCCTCGTTCTGGGTTGGAAACAAGCAGGCCTGACACCTATTCCAGCTCTATCCCCTAACTCACTCTGCAGCTATGGGTATAGAATATTTCTCTGGGCCTCGGTTTCCTCCTCAATAAAATGGGACTAATAGGCTTTGCCCCTGGAAGTTCACGTAACTATTATACAGATTACAATGATAATAATAGTTGACATTGATAAACTATTTCAAAGTTTAGAAAGGATTTTACGTATAATATCTCATGTATTATCACCTCGCATAATAGATTGGAAAATAAGGAAAGTCCTGTTAGTATGGTGCTGACCTGACCTGTATTGTACTAACTTTGCTATAAAAGAACAAGCAAATTAGAGCAGTCATTAAAATCCAAATCTTTATTTTTTTAGGATCTAACATGTTTATCTGGGATTTTTTTTTACCACGTCTAATATTAAAAGCACAGATTTCTACAGTACTTTAAGGCATTTCCCATTCATTATCTCATTGATGCTGGTAACATCTTCATGAATAGGCAGGACGGAAATAATTATCCTCATTTTACAGACGAGGAAATAAAGGCTCAGAACAATTAATAGATTTTCCGAAGGT